TGTAAATTCAAAATAGTGTATGTCATTCTACTGACTTCCACTATCTTGAAAAACGAATATCATCTCATTGTATTATTAAGCATGTAAGAAATTATAGGAAAACATAGTTACTACCATACATGGTATTTCTGTGTAACATATAAAAGAAGATTACATTTGTTGCATTTAAATGGACTAGATATCGACGAAAATGAAGTCTACATAATTCTGCAATTATCATTGTATCCGCAATAGTTTCTGACAAAAGAAACGTTGATAAGATCACGATAGGAAGTTTTTTTTTGGTTAGTTCGAAATTTGGTAAGAAGGATGAGGAGGTCACAGTGGAAAACGTAACAGCAAGTCGAGAATAAGGGAGGTTTAACATGTTTATGATGATGCAAGGGAAATATGGCATAGATTAAGAAAGTGGTTAATGATATTTTCATTACCTGGACAGATTCCCAAACCATGATACCACGTTCTCCTTACACACCATTGCCAGACAACATTGATACCACTTGGGCTGAAGAAAGCGCCGATGCGGACAGCTTTGGCGCCTCGGGTGTTGCTATCAAGTGACAATCACGGCGGGGCCTGGCACAATAACGAACTATAAACTGTTCCAAACCGTTCACGAATGTACAAGTCTCGTCAGAAATCGAGAACGATTAGCCGTGGTGAGCACATCAAACGCACAGCGGCGGCAGCAGCAGTAGCAGCACGGCGCACCGTGAAGTATCCACATTCGCGGCAGCAAGCAGAGGCAGGCGCGACCGACCGATGGATTAAACGACGAGCACGAATCAACGAACCACGCTTTCATAAAAAATCTCGTGCAAACAAGCAACACGATCTTCTCGTCGAAAATTAAATTCAACCTCCGCAATTATCTCTGCTGCGTATGCTAATTCTTACTAGATGTTCCGAATCGAAAATTCGAGTCTCGAGATCCGTTCACATGCTCGCGTTAAAAAAGGCATCGGGTATTTGCTCCAACCTACTATCAAACCACTATCTCATGTAAGCGACATTTGCACGTGCAAATCTCTATTGGTTATCCTTTTATCTGTCATTAATTGAAAATACTCTTTATCATTCGAATTATTGTATTTGAAACTCGCCTTTTGGAAATAACATAACGTACATTCGTAAAGAACTGTGATTAAACAATTTTTATCACCAATTGTTTTTCAGTATCATATAACAGAGAATTACATAGACATCGGACTTGTGATCGTAAATTTACATTTCATTGCTAAATTAATTTTACTATTAATTGAAGGAGCTCTTTATTATTTGTTGTATTCAATTTGAAATTCGCTTTCAGGAAATAACATAACGTGATTCGTAGTCATCGATTGTTTTTCACTGTCGTATAAAGAAGAATTGAAAGATGCAAAGTCCAGATTTTACAAATTCTGGAAAATCGAATAAATCTTAATTAAATACATACTATCTACTTGTTTGAGAAATTACAGATATTTTGAAAATTTGGACTTATGCGTTTTTTCAAAATGGTGGGCATTACATAATTAAAGATTTGCACTGTTTATATGAATGATGAATTTATATAAAAACATAATTACAGAAATAAATCTGTATCCTAAGCTTTATTCATTTCTTTTACATTATCCGATTTCTTATCGAATTCTTCCTTTTTAATTATTCGTCTGTGGTATTATTNTCAAAATGGTGGGCATTACATAATTAAAGATTTGCACTGTTTATATGAATGATGAATTTATATAAAAACATAATTACAGAAATAAATCTGTATCCTAAGCTTTATTCATTTCTTTTACATTATCCGATTTCTTATCGAATTCTTCCTTTTTAATTATTCGTCTGTGGTATTATT